CCTTTTGAAATTGCTGTCATTTTATCAAGTTTAATATACTGTAAGCTATATTGGCTAAATTGAAATGTCTAGACATAAGATGTAGTTTCTAAATTTCTATACTGCAACCCTGCGGTTTTGTGCTCATGGCTGCGGTTCCATTTTTGTGACTGAGAAACGTTACACTAATATGTAACATATTGTAAAACATTCTGGGCGATCATCCAATCAGATTTAAAGCCCGCTATGCTGACTCAAAACCATCTATATAAAATTCTCTCTATATAATGAATTTACTAACAAAAGCGAATGAATTGGAAACCGAGAGTGACTGTAGTTAAAAAAATTAATATTTTGATATAGTTACAACCAACAACACTATTTATTATAACAAATTATAAAAAGATGATCCTCTTGAATAGATTGTACAAGATTATCAATTGTACTAGGGATCGCATCAATATAAATAGTATAACTTTAGCATTAGCGTTAGTACGGCTGATCATTGCTTGTTCAAAAAAGAAAAAGACGGTACGATACTGCGTACGTATGGTTATAAATAAAAAATTCTTTGAATCAAAGCTACTTTTCCTACCTGTCCTTACCCTACTACGAAAAAAGGACAAATACTCGTATTTGTACTAACTCTAACCATTAAAAAAAGGTTCTGTACTGCCGTACAGTATTAATTTACTGAATACCTAAAAAAGAATCGGCTAAAAATATAAATTGCCTAAAATGACTGATAAAAGTTTTATTGTTGGTGCACTTCTTTACCCCGGTTATGACCTTTTGGATTTTAATGGACCAATTCGTTTTTTAGGAACATTAAAAAATTTTGAATTAGATGTAAAGATTATTACAATTTCTCAACACGGAGGAAATGTTGAATCGAATAGTCAAAGTTCTAATTTGTCGAATTATTCTTTCAATGAATGCCCCAACTTCAATGTTCTGCTGATACCAGGTATTTTAAATATTTATTTATTATAATTAGGTATATGTATAAAATTTGATGTACCTCTCAATTCTTTTATAAGGTGGTGTTGGAACCAGAAAAGAAATTGATAACTCAGCCCTGATAAATTTTATCGATATGTGGGTTCCAAAAGTAGATTATGTTTTGACGGTTTGTACTGGAAGTTCTTTGTTAGCAAAGACAGGTGATTGGTTTTCTTTCACTATAATTGTATTTACATTGTTATAAAATTTAATATTCCTCTTTGTTTCATCTGATGAAACTTATAGGTCATTTAGATGGTAAAAAAGCCACTTCAAACAAGAGAGCATTTAATTGGGTTACTTCTCATGGTTTAGTAACAGTTCCATTGTTATTTTGTGATGGTTATTAATAATGTGTTTAATAATTGGATATCTAAATTTTTAGGTCCAAAGGTAAATTGGATTAAACATGCTAGATGGGTAGTTGATGGAAAATTCTATACATCAGCTGGAGGTAAATATGTGATTATAGTGTCGTTCTTCTCGTTATATCCTCTATAATAATATTATTATATATTTTCTTTTTTTCATCAAAGTATCCTTCGGTAATTATGTTTGGTTGTTAATCATGGAATTATTTTGTTATTTAACAAATTAATATCGATAGGGATGGATATGGTGCTTGGTTGGATTTCTGATGTATTTGGAGAAAAGCATGCAAAGGATGCAGCTCTTTTCGCTGAATATGAATGGCATTCTGATCCTTCTTGGGATCCTTTTTCCGAGATGGAACCGGACTCTTCTGCTAATACTTTATGGTAAGTTAATACGAGTAATTTTATGTAATTAAATTTATGTGATTGCATTGTTCTTGACATTAAAATTAGCTAATCAAATTGACTTTATTTGCAGAATTTCACTTGATCATATTTTATCAATCCAGTAATTTATAATATTCTCAAGTCAATTTTGGCTATTGATTAAATCTGCGAGTGATTTTTATTTAACTGAGCTTCGAATTTTACCAAATAAATTTTGCTGAACGAAATTGCACTAACTTTATTATAATGCGTTTTCGTGATGAAAATAATTAATTCGAGGTAATTCATTGAAAGAATAGAAAATACTCGGCTTTAGAGAATTAATTTTATAGCAATTTTATAGCAAGTTTTTTTTTTTTGATATTGATCCGAGAAAATCGAATTTAGCTGTCAAAAGAAAATCTGTCATCGGACTTTCAATTATATTTTGTGTACAGTTAGTCGTCTATAGAAAATCTATCATTGGGCTGGAGCGGAGGGAAACGGAGTGTAAGTCCTTTCTATGGTCTACTAATTTGGGTCGATGTCCGGCTCCCAC